TTTTATTAAATCTCTTATTAAAGGTACATTGTATCAAATTATTTTTCTTTTTTTTTTTCTATTAATATGTATCTACATAATATGCCTCTTCTTAAGAATATCAGCCATTACCCTTTAATGAACAACATGTCCGCCTTACGTCGACTTAACCTATATTAAAGTCCTTCATTTAAATAAATTCACGACGAGGATTAAAATGTTTTAAGGGGCGCGAAACGAATGATTATCGCCGAAAAGACCGTTGATCACCACGAAAATCCTCCGTAACACGTTAAGATTTTTCTCGAGTAATTAACCAGCGCAATTCGACTCGTAAACGCTGCCTTTACTGCCCCAAGAATAAACTTTTTGTTTACGGCTACGATATAATTGCATCGGCGAAACTTCGAACAGTTTCGGACGACGAAACGATACCAACGATAAAATATCGTTTCCACGACTTTTACTGTCACCACTTTTGTTACAAATTAAAAATTACGTCGACACGTGACACTTGATAGCCTTCTTTTTACTTTTCGAAGGCTGAATCTTTGGATGAAAAGGATATTTGTTAAATGTAATCCGTTTAATTGAATATACGTGTTAGAAAAGTTGAGCAAGTCGATTTTTTAAATTCTAATTTTTGAGAGAAAAAAAAGAAAATTTGGAAAAATTATTTCTATTTGTTTTTTTATATTGTGAGGATCTTTTTTTATGTTCGTTATTGTAATGCTTTAGAAATTGAATAAAAATTTTTGTACATTTAATTTAGAAGATTAATTTAGAAGATCGTCATTATAATTAAAGAAATAATCACGTATAATTTTGATATTTTTCTTTTATCCTTATTTTATTTTAACAATGTATGCATAATTATCATTTATAAAAAAAGCTGTTTTTGTCGAAATAAATTATAAAAACAAAAGATATTGTGAAATTGTACATATTGCAATAAAATCTAATGAGAAAATTTAAATATGTTTTAAAAAATAAATGTGGAGTAAAAAATTTTAACGATGTTAACTGACACAACTAAAAATTAATTAAGCCTTCGTAATTAGAAATATTTGCAAATTATTTTTTTTTAAAAATACACATTTTTATCAACTCATCCTTTTTTCATTGCTTTTAATTTGAGAAATATTTTTCTATTTGCGACAATCTTTACTCTCCAATTCAACATTTATACATCGACCAGCATTATACACGACATTAACAGGTAAAAATGTTTCTTTCCTTCATTTCTTTTCATAATTTTCACCATATCCATTTGTTTCCAAGACTGAAAGCTGTTGTTTTCTTTATCAAAAGCACGACTCTACAAATGTTTCTTTCGGTAGAAAAGAAACCATAGAAGGAAATAGATTCAGGAAGCAAAGAACTATCTTATTTCTTGTATTCTTGTTGACTTTCTTTATGAATCTTCCCCTCTGTTTTTCGTTACATTTTTCTCTTTTCTCAGTATATTAAAACGACATAAATATTTCATTCTTGTCAAATTCCACTCGATTATAATTGTATTATTGACATATAATTTATTTTTCATCACATCTCGTACCTTTTTTATATCATATAAAAACTTTTCACATTAATATTAATACAAACATATCATATTTTGAATATAATGAACGATAAATTTTAGAAAAATTCGCGAAGGATTAAATTTACATGCAACTTAAGAACAATTAAATATTAAACTGCTAGTATCCACGATAAATAAAAAGAATATAATTCGTTCAAAAATTTTATCAGAATTTTAAAAGTATTTATTCTAAAAAAGATTGTTGATTGAATCACG